CATGACGCGGGGCAGCGCGTGCAGGAAGACGGCCTTCACCCAGGCGGGCATGGTGTGCGTGGTGGGCGTCCGGTAGTGCACGTTGAGCACGAAGACCGTGATGACGATGGACAGGGTGACGAAGATCATGGTGAACAGCAGGTACTCGCCGATGAGCGGGATGACCAGCGAGGTGGACGGGATGGTCTCGGTGATGACCAGCAGGAAGACGGTGAGGGAGAGCAGCACGGAGATGCAGAGCGTGACCTTCTCGCCGCAGTCGGACGGCAGGTAGAAGACCAGCACGGTGAGGAAGGAGATGAGCAGGCAGGGGATGATGAGGTTGATGGTGTAGAAGAGCGGCAGGCGCCGGATGTAGAGCGAGTAGGTGATGTCCTGGTAGATCTCCTCGCAGCAGTTGTACTTGATGTCGTGCTTGTAGCCGGGGGCGTGGATGATGGCCCACTCGCCGCTCTCCCAGTAGTCCTTGAGGTTCATGGAGGAGCCGACCAGGACCAGCTCGATCTTGGCCTTGTCGTAGGACCAGGAGCCGAACTTCATGGTGCAGTTCTGGTAGTCGAAGGGGAAGTAGGTGACGTCGATCTTGCAGGAGCTCTTGAAGATGGCGGGGGGGATCCAGGTCACCTCGCCCGTGTGCTTGACCAGGGCTTTGGTCTTGTCGTCCACCTGGAAGTCCCCCATGGCGCTGCGGGGAGAGAGGCGGGGCCGGGTCACGTCACACCGTCCGACACCCTCATCGCGCCTCGAGGAGGTCGCTGGCTCATCCCACCGCACACAACGCCTGTTGCATCGAGACACCCCAAGTGCCCCTTCTCTTGAAGGAGAGAAACAGGATGAAGGTTTGCCGGCCCAGAGGCAGGTTCCTAAGTGGACGCTCAACCCCTGAGCCACACCAGCCGGGTCTGTAAGTAAATTCTTAGCGGAACACACAGCCATCCCCACTCGTCTATGGCCTAATGGCTACTTTTTTGTTTGTTTGCTAATCCTCACCCGAGGATATTTTCCCATTGATTTTTAGAGAGAGTGGAAGGGAGGGGGAGAGACACATCGATGGGTTGCCTCCTCCACACGCCCCGACCACGGCCGGGGATGGAGCCTGCGACCAAGGTACGTGCCCTGGACTGGAATCGAACCCGGACCCTTTAGTCCGGGGACTGACGCTCTGTCCACTGAGCCAAACCGGCTAGGGCTATCTATGGCTACTTTTAAAAATATATATTTTTTTATTGATTTCAGAGAGGAAGGGAGAGAGAGAGAAAAAAACACCAATGATGAGAATCATTGATCGGCTGCCTCCTGCATGCCCCCTGCTGGGGATGGAGCCCGCAACCGGGGCCTGTGCCCTGACTGGGAATCGAACTGTGACCTCCCGGTTCATGGGTCGATGCTCAACCACGGAGCCACGCCAGCCGGGCCGATCCCCTCATTTTACTGAAGAGGATACGCAAGCCCAGGGAACAGGATCGAGCAGCTTGGGCCCCTGCAGAGCTGGTGGCAGAGCCGTGACCACCCAGGACTCGGGTCCCCAGGTGAGGAGGCGCCTAACCCCGTGGGCTCCGAGGCCGGGTGTTGGCGAGAAGCCGGTCTCGGTGGCTGACGCACGTCCCGCTGTTTTCCAGGGATCCTGGTCATCAGAGGCCTGTGTGCTGACCGGCAGGGTCAGCAGCCTGTCTCTGCCACCAGGGGGCAGAGAGGACCCGGCCTGGCCTGGGATCGGGCTCAGCGCCAGCCACAGAGGGGCCCTGGGTAAGCACCTGCTGACTGAGCGAATGACCAGGAAATAAAGGCCGATCTCCGGTCACAGGGGCACCAGGAGAGGCTGACAGGGAGGACAGCGGGCGGGGAGGGGGGGCGGGGGGGGCTCTGGGCCTGTGTGCTCTGAGCAG